TGTCATACCTTGAAGCATGCAGCGGTACGCGGACTCAGAGATGGCGTAAATGTGTGGCGGCATCTCATGCCTCTTCTTCCCTCTGTACATCTCTATGATGTTCTCTGAGTAGATGGGCAGGTTCTTGTAGGGGTTGATGACCACGCAGAAAAGGCCGGAGTATGTCTGTAATTAAAGACACACAACAAGGAAAAAAAAAACATCAGAAATTAATACACATCGACGCCGCAGCTCAAAGTTAGAATCACAATACATTTACAAAGTATTAAAATATGTAAATATGTCATGAATATTCCTAGAATTCTGCCTGAAGCGGGAAAATCAGGTCTCAGTGGAACTGTAAATGGATATAAACACAATATGCAAAGCATCAATGTCTTTGAGATTAAAAGGAGCGTGCACATTTCAAGCTGTGTAAATCATCTGGCCTGCATTGTGTCACGGCAGTAAGACTTTTCATTACCCACTTTTTAGGAGCTTACATCATCATAGTGGGCACGCAACACAGTGATAGACACAGAGCAGACTGTTAAGAGTGTCAGACACATTTGAGGGAATGGCGACTTAATGAAACACTGAACAGGCACCGCTTTGTGGAGCAACAAAAGACCCCGAGAGTCCTAATGAGAGCCTTTAAATCTAAAACAGCAAATGAAGTCAATAAAGACATTTATGCATATTATAAAGACTCGTGTTGCAGCAAATAGCATGCGGTGCAAACATTTAGCCTAGTTTCTGACTTGTGGTGTTGCATTTGGCTGCGTAATTAGCCTGACAATCTCTCCCTAGAGAGAGTGTGTGGTATGAAGGCTTCTCAGCTATGCTGTAGGCTGAATCGACCCGGCAGCGAGCAGCCGGGAATGAGAGAGGCCCTGGTGGGGCAATGGCTCTCATTCTGCAGATGCTATAGGGGCTTTGCATTCCGCCTATAGATGATACAGAGAAAGAGGTGCTTACCAGGAGTATGACCTTCATCATTGGCATTTTGGGCTTATTCTAGGGGCCTCACCTCTGTGTACCTCACACAAAGGTGAGCATACAGCACATACCTACAGAATGTAAAGCTCATAAACAGCTGCACGCATATGTGTACAAACATGCAGAGCGATATGGTTTAGAAAAAAACCTGAACAACTTAAAAAAAAACAGGATGACAGAGAAAAAGAAGAAGAAGCAAAATCTGGGAAAAGTTCTGTAATGAAGCTCAAATTCTTTTCAGGAGTTGGCGCCTCCTTTACTGCCAACATGGCAATTGAGTTAATAAATAAAAAAAACACATGTTCTCTACGAACTGCCATCTGTAATAAATAACTGAACCTCTGTTTTAAAGAGCTTTAATTATTTAGAGAGCTATTTATTCTGTCACTTCTGCTGCCAGTAAACGGCAACCCAGTATGATATAGTACGACCAGAAACCAAAGACGCAGTATTCAGAAAAACCGTGTCCTACACTGAACCTTTTATATCAAACATCAAGACATCTGCTTCATAATTAAAACTGCATTCGAGGCCGAGTGAGGCTCTGAGACACGAGTGACTCAGCAGCCATAGGTTCACAAAGGGGCCCCAGAGAGCCGGCAGCATACTGTAGCCGTTACGTAACGGCTCAGTTCGGGCCCTCAGTCAGCACCGAGCTACTGATGCTGCACTGCTGATACAGACAAACAGGCCCAGAAAAAAGGGAGGTGGTGAGGGAGAGAGAGGCAGACAGAAACGAAGAGCGGAGCAATGATCCAGCTGACAGAGCTCCCAGAGGTCCAATCCGAGCGAGAAGCAGAGGCGTAACAAACACCGAACCGTGTTCTCAGCTTTTCTGCAAACTGCTCCCCACCTGAGAGGAGGCGAGAGACGGCCTGCTGAAACTCGAACTCTCCACTCTCCTTTTCGAGGCTAATGAAAAATTAATTCCCCCGTATCTGAAAACGGGAGCCGCTATAAATAGGGGGTCTGTTGTGTTGTCTCAGTTCGTCCGATGCAGCAGCAGCAGCAGCAGCATGCAGAGAGACATCCGAACTGTTCAGGTGTCGATGGGGACTGTCCCAGACGTCCAGAGCGCTCAAGCTGGAACTGCATTTTGCTGAATCATGTCAGTGTATGCATGATTTATTGTGTTAAAGCTGCACAAAGCATTTAAAATTATAGTTTCCGCTTGAATAAAGTTGATTTTGTGCATCAGTTTTAGGATTTATGTCTCTTAAATGTTTGTGAAACTTATTGTGATCTTTAAATATACAAACCAAGGGTGCATTCGAGGTATTTTTATTCAGGACAAAGTTAAAAAATCATATAATCCCCGACAACCACCTAAAATGATCCTTAAAATCAAACAGAAACAACAAGTACTCTACATGCTTATTACAGCAAAGCCGTTGCTTCCGCGCAAGTAATTATTGTGAAAAATCCTGCAGGATCAACGCTGTATAAAGAACATCTACTGCCACTGTTGCCAGCAAGCAGAGCGTACAACCAGCTCGACGCCGCCGCCGCCTGCCAAACACCCCTGCCTGGCCCAGTGCAGGAAAGAGAAGGTGATATTTCCACTGTGAAACCAGATCCAGGGGAGGGGATGCCGTGGCCTAGTAACAGCTGAGCAACACACAGGCAACAGCAGACACAACAGCCGACCCCATCTGCCACCCCTGATCAGTCAGGCAGCATGCCTGCGTTGACGTACCGCCCTCCGGTCTGCGGGCTGGAGAGGGCATTCTGGGTGCAGAGGGCGCCTCGCTGTCATTGATCTGTGTGGAGTGCGGGGAGACTTTGACCATTTCCCCCCCGACGGCGCTTCGCTCCACCGATTTCATAACGAAGCTAACAAATACCTCAGACTTGGCTCCTGAAATGTGACTGAGATGGAGGGGATCAAATCACTTTAACAGCAGCAGAGCGACTGGGTAGCTAATGGCTAATCAGACCTATGCTACAGGCCACTAACAATGCAATCAGCTGCAATACATGTTCATCTGAAAAAGTATGGGGTACTTTTGTATAACATCATGGAGACATGAAAAAGCCAACATCCTGCAGGAATCCACATCTGACTCTTATTTACAGGGATATGAGGACGAGCATGACTTTTTTCTTCTTGTGCTGCTTTACCTGTTGCCCTGCAGCAGAGCCAGCATTAGACAAAAGAACACATCCTGAGTAGGGAAATTAGTTTGGCTAGCACACATCTAACCCTGGAGTTACAGGAATATTTGAAATGCCATTTAAAAGCCAGGATGCACAAAGCGGTCAGAATGCATGCAAGAAAAGAAAGAAAGACAGACAGAAAGTCCATGTCAGGACAAGCGGGGAAGAGGGGGAGTGTGGGAAAACGAACGGACTTGGTGAAGACAGGACCGACAGCGAGCAGCGGCGGCAGAGCTGAAGTGGGCGGCAGGAGACAGACAGACGGACGGTCTTTTTTGCCATGGAAGAATGCTGAGGCTTTCTGACAGCTGAGGCTTATCTAACAACACAAAGGGCCGCTTGTAGCCCCGTCGCTAGTGTGGCGATGCCTGGTGTGCAAGCGCTGCGGCTAGCCTCTGACTCACCACCTTACAGATAGAAAGCTGCTACGATAAATGAGTCGGCTCCACGGGCTGCCCGACTTCACACGGATGGGAAAAGGGTCACACAAAGAGGCAGCATGGGGCAGAAAAATCACACACAGGCCAGGGGGGCTTTAATGACCAGTAAAGGTGTGCGATTGCAATTAATAGAAAAGCTGTGGATCAGACTTTTGCTGATATAACCAGAGATATTGGATGTTGAAGTAGCAATAAGTAGGATTGTTTTTTTTGTTCCTGCAGATCAAAATGCATTTTGAAAGGCTGAACAATAGATGGCGAAAGATATATCACAACAAATTTCAGCTGTGTAGGCTTGTTGGGATCGACTATGATGGTTCTGTCTGACAGTGATTCCAATCATAAGTAAACAAAGAGGTCGAGAACCAATATTTGCAATTTTTATGGTAAAAATTCAAATCTTAGTGTCAAATTATCGATAACGCAAACTCCAATCCAACAATTCAATGAGTTTTCTTTGGTATTTAAAGTCTTACATGTGTTGAATCAGAGGGGAACCGTTCAACATTCATCTCTCGGTGCTGGTAGGGTAAAGTAGCATGAGGTTCGACCCCTATTGTCAAGCAAGAGGCATCAAACCTGTGATAATCAACCCAACTGTACTTTCCATGCTGCATGAGACAGTCAGAAAACACAGCTAGAATCTGCTGGTCTCTATATTTAAAACGCACTTATTAGCTTCTTCTAATTACAAAGGAACAAAGAGTATAAAGCCCCCTTTTTATATCTGAAAATGAGTTTTTGAGCTATGGACTACAGTTTGCCCTGTAAAGCCAAACCCATAAAAAGATCTCATAGGTTTACAGAAAGAATTGCCTCGGACCGGCCTGCGATGATCACGATATGACTCGGTTATAGAAGTCTTCCTAATAAGCTCACTTAAGGCTGGCGGCCTGGGGGAGGCTTTATATTATGTCTGCAGCAGATGTAGCGCAGCTCTGGGGGGGTTTCTCAAATAAACTGGAAAAGGTTTAGAACTTAGGGGGTTTCTTCTTCTGAGAGCGAGCTGAACGGGGAAAATTCTCTTCCGGATAGAAAACCAACACGGCCAGACACATGTTTTCAATTTCTGTCAGGCAAGGAGACAATTAACAAACTCCAAAGCCAACTCTTAACCCAAGAAAAAAAAAGTCAAGTAAAAGAAACCATGACACTATGGTATTAGAAAGAAATCGAAGAGGAACATGGTAGAGAGCAAATAAATCCAATCCATATGGGGAAAGATGTTTTCTTCCATTTCACTGTTCACGAATTAACATTTTACCTTCACACTTGAAATGTGCTGCACGAACAAACGGCGACTTCATCAGAGAGTCTTGTCTTGAGAGGAGGATAATTGACAAACGACTCGGCCCGCAGTCCCCGAACCGGAGTCTCTCAGGTGATAAGTAACCCATATTCTATTCCTGGAAAACATGTCACTAAATGGGTCGAGATCACAGAGCAGCTCTGTGAAATTAGATTATGGGGACGGAAGCAATGCAGCAGCTCTGCAAACTTTGGCCACGAATAAAATCAGATGCGCAAAATAAATATTAGGAGATACGACAAAGAACGCATCTTAATGCCCCCGATGACATTTCTACAGCCTCAAAAACCGGTTTCTTTATCATTATTCTTCTGCAGAATCAGGCTCTGGTTCAAACGTGCGACTGAATTCCTCTAACAGTAATTAATATTGGTAATTAGAGCAGTTTTACAGTGTTTGAACAGAGTCGTAGGTGAGCTGGGGTGCTCAAGCTGCAGTGGTGAGAGGCGGGGACTTACTAGATTTACATCTAGGCCATTTTTTGCCTTGAAAGAATTATTTTCACAGATCAAAAACAATAAATATGTAACTTCAATTACTTTAATTAATGAACATGGGGGGACTTTAAAACGCCTACATGCGTTCGCCGTGTAGTTTGGGTTATAAGTAGTAGAATATTAAAACATCTCTGTTGCTTTAAAACACTTTATGTGCAAACAGCTTCGCTAAAACTACTTAGAGTAAATTAATCTCTAACTTTTATAGTAAACCATTAATGGGTTCTTCGATTGCAGCTTCTTTAATTCTAATATTTTCTGGTTCCTTTTCTCCTCTGTGACAGCTAACTGAGGATCTTTGGATTTCAGATACAAGAAAGCATTTCAGGACGTCATCTTGGGCTTTCAGAGACGCTGCATTTTACAAATGAAACAACTATCAATCGATTAATGAAGAAAATAATCAACAGATTACTCAAAGTTAGCCCTAGTGTGTGTGTCACCAGGACTTTGAAGCCAAAACAAAAGGTGACAAACTAACACACTGTTCCCTCCCACTTTGTGTTTAGTTCTACACAGTAGGACCGCCACAGAGGGGTCAGGCCATGTCTGTGATCAAACAAGGCCCACCAGTAGGAGGACGGGGACAGGACAAACAAACCGAAACCAGCAGTGTTTATGGAGGAGGTCTGCCTGTAGCCGAGGTAAGAGAGAAACCATGGGGGGGAGGTAACAATCTGTAACCCAGAGGCACTGAGGAGGAGAGATCTGGAAATGGTTAAAAGACTCCAGAGATCTGTCAGTCATTCTGTGTGCATTGATGTATATGTGTGGGTATGCTTCTGTGGTCAGGAGTCATTCAGGAAAGTCCAAAAAGCTCAATCTTCCCCAAACAAAGACCGACAAATATCAGATCTCACTTTCACAGAAGAGCGCAAAAGACAGATGGCTAAAAATTAAACAACTGCATGCATGCTGGTGAAATACTATCCATGATGTTGTAATTAACCTGGAAACCGTGCAAACCAGAGGATCTCTGACTTCTAAGGTTAATCATTCTCAACTGTGGAGATGCATAACTGCTATGAAAACAGGTTCTGAAGGCTCCAGGTCTCAGCCACTCACATATATGAGGCCGGAGTAGTAGCGGTCCTTCAGGTTGTGCAGCACGGACGCCTCGTTCAGGCAGGTGAGCTCGGCCATGTCCTCCACCTTGCTGAACTTGGGCGGGTTCATCTTCTGGATGTCGTCCTTGTTGATGACCACCTTCTTACCGTTCTCCGCCAGCTCCACCAACACCTCCTCGCCACGCTCTTCCCGGATGCTGGCCGCCTCAAAGCCATGGCGCTCGGAGGGGACCCACACCAGCTTCTTGGCCGTCCAGTCGGCCTGTGTGGCTGGGTTGTAAACCACAGCCCGGTCCACAAACAGGTACCGCTCTGGGTCCTCTTGCCCACTCCGATGAGACATCTTATCTAGGATTTACCAGAGCAACGTGGCCACCTAGAACAGACGGCGTAGAGTTAGCAACTGAGATATTACACGTAGGCTACATATTGTCATGGCGAGGAGTCTCGTTAATGCCTTTTAGATCTCACCCTCTGTGATCAATACAAACTCAATCAAGGGTGACGGCTTTTATCTTCACTTCATCATGACTAGAGTATTTTATGGCCACCGACTCAAGTCTGGTCCAACCAAAATTGACGCCTAATAGACGGCTTCACTCATAAAACTGGACTTCCATCCGGTACCCACTATTGCTTGGAGGAAGTTTATCCCAGAAACTTTTCTCGATAGCTGTCGTCCCCATGAGGATGGAGTTTACCAACACAACCACCCGTCATTCAACCAAATACAATCATGTTGAGTATTTTAACAGATTTTGCAGCAATTTAATAAAATGCAACTGTTTTATATGTAAATAAAGATTGTGTTCGTAGGTGTTTTTAGTAGTTAAAATTCAGATTACACGCTGATGCTCTTTCACAGACTTTTCAAAGACTGTAAGGATGAAACATACTTTGAAAAGATTGGGAATTAAGCGGTACAAACTGCCAGACAGTGAAGACTGACCCAGAATCTGCAGCCAAAACTAAGAAACTGAAGGTTTGATGGACGCAGTGTTGGTCAGAGTAGTTATCTAATGAGATTTTTAACTTTTAATCAATTGAGGACCACGTAACACAGCTTGATGTGAATCCTCTTGTGATAATGATGACTGAGTAACGAAAAATAAAAGAATATTGAGCAGGGACTTGATGAAAAAAGGGCAAATTAGTGCCACCTCAATGTGGGTACTGGTCTCCATCTAGATGGTGCACCTTATACATGACAAGACATTATAACAGAATGACATGAATGGAATGGGGGATAAAAGAGAGGGCTTGGGGATGAAATAAAGAACTTATATCGCATGTTTCTGAGCCAGACTTCCCCACTAAACCTGACATTCTCCATGACTTCTCAGTGAGCCGCATACTGCGCAGCTCCACCACCTCCGACGGGACGGAGCGCCGTCGTGATGATGGCTCATACATCAAGTCCCGGACACCTCCTCTTGTGTAGGGGGGGAAATAACCCACTTTAACGCCTCATTCGCACATTAAAAACTCGCTCCCGAAGTCCCCGCTTACATATAGGAGGCTAACAAGGCGCGGTATTGAAGCTGCGCAAGAGCTAGCTAATGTAAAGTATGATTAACATTAGCTTAAAAAAAAGTAGCATCCGGAGGGGCGACCGTTAGGACAACAAACAGCACCGAGAGGGTGATGTGTGCCTTTTATTAACGAATAAAACTGGGCAGTTTGACACGTATACGTAGCGGTTAATGTTGTATAATGAGTTCAAGTGGTGCCTCGTTAACATTTAATTGAAATAAAGGAGGGCATCAATATTTAAAGTTCAGAGGCTTTAAAAAAAATAAAATAAAATTTTAAAAAAAAGTTAAACTTTCCAGTCTAACAGTCATCATTCATCTCCATCACTCCCTCACCATTAATAAAAAAAATTAAAAAATTAAATTAAAAAAAAAAAACAACTCACCTGGTGTCGTGAGAGGAAGACGCAGCAGCAGCAGCAGCAGCAGCGGCGGCGGTCGGATCCTGGTTCACCAAACAGCTCCCCCTCTAACCCTGTACGCAACTAGCTGCCACACACACACACAATTGAAATGCAGGCATGTATCTGTGCTTCGGGTATGCACCACCACGGGCACTGTGCCGCCTCCGAACGCTGGGGCCCCTCCTAAACCCGAGCACACTGGACCGCCGCCGCCTCCGCCGCTGCTCCCCGCCTACGACGCACGTAGAAGCGGATCGCGCAGATCGATAACGCCGCAGCCGTCACGCACCGGGACGCGTCACCCCGAGGTTGTTTTTTCGCTGATGCGTGCGGGAACGCTTCCTGATTCATTAATAAGGACGGTGATTTACATTTTTTTTCTCACCCCCCTCGGGACGCTGCGCTCTTTACATCTATCCCACAAATATCTAGGCGGCGCGCACACCCACCGCATGCAGCCGGCACACAATTGGACTCTCACTTTGCGGTCTTTCGCTCCCCCTTTCCATCATTGGCTGGAAAAAACCAACCCCCCAATTTGATGCAAACCAATCACACGCATAAAAATAAAGAAATGCAACTGTTGCATGTCCTCATTGCACAAAACATCCAACATAACTTGCATCAGCACCTCTATAGTTGACATATGGAGTTTCTAATGAGCAATCAAGCATCTTAATCGCTGCCACAAAAACTGAGTACACCTCTGATTTCCAGCCAGGGTAACTGCATGGACCTGGTTTACATGACGAGCTGTGAACACCTTATGGGTTGTTTATATATCTGCATCATGGCTCCATATAGAGAAGAACTGTCGGGGTAACTGAAAAATCCCTCTGTGAGGCTTCACAATGATGGAAAAGGCTACAGAAGACCGATGCCCGACTGAAAATCAGTGGAAATGCAGCTGCAGCAGGTATTAAAAAGAGCAATAGTACCACTAATCAGACGTATAGTGGTCATCCACTAAAATGAAGCAAAGGACAGTGCAGCATTTTGGACGATCTAGGTGTGAAAAACAGACAGGAAGTTGTTTCAGTCGAGTAAAATCAAGGTTTCCGTGACACCGCAGACACCAGCCTTTATAGACGTGAGAAAACAACAACAGAAACTTGCTGACTGTTTGGCACAAAACATGAAAACATACCTGATGGATATCAGGATGGGACCAGGATAAGTTTGTTGGGCTCCTGCATGTTTGGTGTGAACCTGTCCAGGACAACATCAGCTGCATAGTCCTGGTATTGAAGAGGTGGGAATGTGATCATATGGAGCTTCATGAGTGCAAAAAGCATCTGGGGAGATGATATTTACGGATGGCACCGTGAATAATCTTTGGATGTACCAGAAGTACTGGCCGACTCCGAGTCTGCAGACGCTTGGCAGATGAGGAATATTCCAGCATGACAATGATCCAAAGCCCGCTGCCAAAATCACACAAGAGTTTCCAAAGAAGAAGAAAAAAAAAACTATGACTTGGACAAGCAGGACTTAAATCCAACAGAACACCTCTGAGGCCCTGGAAGGAGAAAGATAGAGCAGCACAATCCCAGCTGAAAAACAGTAAAGAATGGTAGATCATCTCTCTAGAAGTTCAATATCCTCCATGCCGAGGAGGATTACGTCATCAGAAATATAGGTGGACATCTGACTTCCTGCTGTGAGGTCTGCATTTTAAATATCGTACACCTAAAGTGTTGTTAACTCTACATAAGAGCAGACATCCTATTGTTTAACTCAGACATAATGCACATTAGAATGCACTGGAGTGTATTCAGTATACTGCAATAAGTCATCACCTCAGCAGCTCTGCAGTGAGCTCCAACGTCTCCCTCTTGTGGCTGAAAGCAGCAACAGCAGCATCTTTACCCTTAACTCACGCAACCATACATCACCCTGCCACAGACGTAAGCTTTTACAGTGGTGTTTTATTACAAATGGAAACAGAAACTCTCACACACGACCGAGGAAAGCAGGTCTTCTGTCATTAAATAGTCATTTGTGTCCATACTAAAGCGCATGTACTCCTGTTTCCACATCACAAACAGGAAAGGCATCGTATGTTGTAGGTATGTACACTTCAGCGTCCTCCCCTCCAGGCTGCTCCGCCTCGCTTCTTCCCTCCTCCTCCACCACCTCCTCCACCTCCTCTTCCTCCTCCTCCTCCTCCTCCACCCAGTCCTCCACCCGGTCCTCCTCTAACTTTCTTCCTCACTCCGCTGGCTTGTTCTGTGTCGTCGTCGTCTCCATCGCCACCTTTGGGCCTTTTCCTTTTCTCACCTTGTTCCTTCATTTCCTGAGGAGGGAAATTGTTATTTTCTTAGTGTTTCATGCACATTTACATCCATAAATCACATCAGTCTTTTAGTTAAGTTATCCAGACACTTTATCAACACTAGCAGACAAATGTTCTGATCCGGATTGACCTTAAAAATGATGTTAAATAAATAAAACCATACAAAAGTACGACTATTATTATTTTTTACAATTAAACTGTCAGTGTTTAAGTTGGTTTAAAAAAATGTAACCATTAATTTATTATTGCCATATTTTCCTGACTATTTCGCAATATTTATTTTGAATTTTCACAATTTACACTATAATTTCCACTATTTAAATTGCTGCTAGACGCTATACATGTTGTTCATCTAATAAACGATTCTTCCAACCTATTTCATAGTTTATTTATTAACTGTGAAACTATTTCAGTGGTTGTCTGTTACCTCATATTTCTCCAAGACTTCTAGATATTTTTTTTTTTAAATCAAGCAGCAACAACCAGAGTTTAAAATTCAATGTAGACTAATTAAAACCAGAGAAACGTGGACCTTTAGTGGATCATTTAGGGCTGCACGTACGTTTTGGATGTTGCAAATTAGAAAGCAGGAAACCGTCTTCCTCTGATGTGTGTCAAATAAGGTTATTGTCGTTTTTCTTTCGTGTGATTTGCTGCAGCAGAGCGAGCTGCTCCTAAAAATCTCTGCCTTCAATAGACTCTCGTATAAAATAAACACAAAGTAAGTAGGTTTTTCCCACAAGTCATCAATTCCCTCCTTCTGCTCCGTGTGCTGAACGGTCATTTTGATTCCATTATTGAGGCTTCAAGCAAAAGTTTGTTTGTGTTACCGGCTTTATTGACACGTCTGGTCTGGAGTGACGGAGCGAGGCGGTCCAGGAGCATCACTCAGCGCAGACGTAATAGTATTCTGTCATCATTCGTGGGTGGACGAGGCCATTTATTTTCCGCAGATAGTTTTGGCGGTTGGCTCGCGTGTTTTATGATTTACTGTGACTTGGACTAACAGCCGCTGAACGGATTCTGATATCCACTATTTGTCAGTAAATCAAGCGTGCAACTGGCAAAGGATTAAAAATTATATCCAGAGCACTGCTGAGGGTTGGTAAATGGGTGATCCAGTGTTTAATTCTCCTGTCAAACAGCATTAACGCTGACAGACAGCTGGCTGGCATCAACTCCCCGTCATGATGCCGACTACTTCCTGGCATTTACCAAAACTGTGTAGCTTCATTTTAACTAATTTAATGCCACATAAGTCGAATGTGTACGATGCATTTCAGCCCACTGGTGCTACTGTATGCATCACAGCTCCAATAAGTTTATAATGTCACCCTCCCGCTTGATCCCGCATTTGGAAGGTCCCGACTCCAACTTGGAAAGATGCTGTCGATCACAAATCCATTCTCTTGGCTGCAGTTTTTATATAAACACTGAGAGAAGCGATCACTAACGACTCACCAGGCGGGCAAACCTCTGGGCCTCGCTCACCCTCTCCACCAGCATCATCACTTCTTCTTCTTGAGTCGGAAAGGACGGAAGCTTCTTCCCGATTAAGGTTTCGATTCTCTGGAAAAGCTCCACGTCGTACCTGAGACGAGTGGAAAGAAGTTCCCTGTTATCTGCTTGGAGCGCAAACGGCAACACGTCAGGAAAAAAAAAAAAGTAGTTACGTGACCGGTGAAGATAAACAGGGCTTTCTTACTGGGTGACGAACGTGATGGATTTCCCAGATCGTCCCGCTCTGGCTGTTCGGCCAACTCTGTGGATGTAGTCCTGGGAGGGAAGACGGATCCGGAGATGAATTATCAGCGAAGTGAATGAAATCATCAAACACACAAACGTCTGCACCTCAGTACCTTGGAATGAGTGGGGATGTCGTAATTGATTACGCAGTCAACGTGAGGAATGTCCAGCCCTCTGGAGGCCACGTCTGTTGCCAGCAGCACAGACCGAGACTTGGACTTGAACTTGTTCAGAGCGCCGAGACGTTTATTCTGAGCCGACAGAGGGAAGAAGATCCAGACGGTTTACAGACAAATACATTAAATTGTACAATATTTTCTGGGCGTCCTAAACTCATCGAACTATGAATGTTGTTCATAACAAAGCGACGACAAAAAGTCTTTCAAAAGAAGACCAGTAAAGATGACGGAGCATCGTCAGCATTTTTATCCGTTTTATCAAGAACGTGTGCAACAGAGAGAAACAACAGCAACAGAGAACTTTGAAATCAGACCTTACAGCTGATTATAAAACCTCAGTAGACATGCTGGTGACTGTGTGTCCTAAACATGTTTGATCGTCTGAAGCTCTACCTGACTCATCTGTCCGTGAAGAGGGATGGCCGTGATGCCCAGGTTCCTCAACAGCAGCGCCACCCGCTGGGCGTTGTGACACGTGCTGCAGAAGATCATGAAGGAGTTTCCGGCCAGTTCGTTCAGGATGGACACCAGGTAACAGTCCTGCAGAGAAAACAGACACGAGAACAAAACTGGGTTTGAACTGTCGGCACGCTTCAAGAGCTAATGAGCATTTAAAAATGTTATTGAGTTATCGAGTCACGACTGTATGTGTTTAGATGATGTAACAACAGTTTAAAGTGGGAAAAAAACCCAAAAAATCCAACTTGGATTTTTCAGGATTTGTCAAATTCTGTGTCGGGCTCCATTTTTCTCTCACTGAGCAAGTCCTGCCTCAAACACACCGCCGCTCCTCCTCAGCTGCACTCTTTACGACATTTCCAAAGTTATGCAGCTTGTGAAAATATGAAATATGCTCAGAGCTGAAGGTAAGTTACACCTTATTATAAATGCCACCACCAGGCCGTGTAGTAACCCAGCACTAAGAGGACAGACAGCCTGCAGCCTGACGTGTCTGTGTGTCGCCTACCTTGTACTTGGACGGTATGAAGATGTAGTACTGCTGCAGTTTGTCTACTGTGGAGTATTTGGTGGATACTGCACACTTCACAGGATCCTTCAGGGCTGCTCTCTCTAGTTTCTGGACCTGGAAACAAATAAAAGAGCGTCAGCACACTGGTTGTGATGCTTTAGGACGACTATAGCATCTTTTTGCTACTAACCTGCAGCACCTGAAAACACTATGACATGCTGCATCAGCTCAGCTTGACTAAAAGCTTGTTCTGATGAGTGTTTGTGTACCTTTTTGGTCATGGTGGCAGAGAACAAGAAGGTCCGTCTGTCTCTGGGAATCACCTTCAGGATTTTATCCACCTGGCAAAACAAAGGAACCGTTCTCAGACCAGACAAGTAATGCGTCTGTTTGTATCAGTCAGGGGGGAAACTGGTGCAAGTTTGATTTCCAAACAGTCTCCGACCACAAACCTCCGTCTCAAAGTCCATGTTGAGGATTCTGTCTGCCTCGTCCATCACCAGGAACTTCAGAGCTCGCAGGGAGAAGCCCTTTGTGTTCTCCAGGTGGTCGATCAACCGCCCGGGCGTGGCTGTGAACACATTCCATTCACTTCATTATATGAAGGCTAAAGTTCGAAGCTCAAAGTGCATGAAAAAATATTTTTGATATTAGAAGTACGGGTGATTGTAGATGTTAAAAGTTTGTATTCTAATGAACTGTTCCTATCATTAGGAGTTCCTGTTGTCATTTTTGTACAACTTGTGATTCACTAGAAATTTCTCAGGGCTCCACACTGAGATCATTCAGTCACATTTGCCGACTATTTTTGCTGACAGTGTCACTAAATTATTATCACTACGGTCACCAGCGCATAAAAACGTTCCTACCAATGACGACGTGAGGCTTTTTCGCCAACACCAGAGACTGGGACATCATATCGATCCCGCCGACGACCACAGCTGCAACAGAAGAAGAGAGACGGGTTGTAAGTACAGAACCGCAGGAAGTCTGCATCGCTGCATAAACATCCAGTCGCTGATGGACACGTACCACACTTGACACCGATGCTGGAGCCCAGAGCCTCAAACTGCTCAGAGATCTGAAAGGCTAACTCCCTGGTGGGGGTGAGAACGAGGGTATGAAGCCTCTGAGGCGAGGACAGCAGCGACTGGAGGATGGGCAGAGCAAAGGCACCGGTCTTTCCTGAACCAGTCTCTGCCAGGCCGATGACATCCTTCCCTGAGACAGGACAAAGAACAGATGATATGTTAAACACACACTGACATGTTATTATATTTGGCAGCTATAGATAACCTAATGCCCTTCAGACATGGATTAATCTGCAGCATCTGAATCCGTCTGCTTCATGTCTGAATGAGCACTGTGGTCACTTTTCTGTAAAAACTACAACCTCAATCTTCAGACCTTCAGCTTTTCTGTATCAAGTCTGAACTGCATGCAGTCACGCCAACATGTAGGCAACCACAAGCGACAATCACGGAAAATTTAAGAAGTCTTTCCACATTTCAGAAACAATTTTGGTCCAAAAACATCACAGAGAGCAAAAATATTCAGCTTGCCTGTTGAAAACATGTTTCTTATTCACTTTGTTCTGCAATTTCACATCTATTTAAAAATGCCAATAAAACATTACTGTGATGAAGATAGAGTCTGTATCAGGTCAGATTGTTGAGACTCTATCCATCCATCATCTCTCCACCTTAATCCTCACCAGGGTCATGGGGGGCTGGAGTCTATCCCAGCTGACTCAGGGTGAAGGCAGGTTCACCTGGACAGGTAACCAGTCTATCACAGGGCTACACTTAGAGACAGACAACCAAGCACACTCACATTCACACCTACGGACAATTTACAATCACCAGTTAACCTCAACGTGTTTCTGGACTGTGGGAGGAAGCCGGAGAACCCGGAGAGAACCCACGCTGCACGAGGAGAACATGGATAGAGTCCAGCCCCCCGCAACCCTAGTGAGGATTAAGTGGTGTATAGATAATGGATGAATGGATCACTATTTACTACACATCAGTTAACCTTCTGTTCAAAACACTGCATTGCAGATCTGTCACCGTGTTGTGTTTGAATGAAGATGGAAGGAAAATGAACCCATCTTTGAATGACGTCACTTGAACTGATTTATGAAGCAGCAATGTTCCATATTTGCTGTCTCTTTGCTGGTTAAATTTGTCAGATCAAAAACTCTGAAACCAAAGGATTCCTGTACCCTGTTGTCCACTAAAATGTATAAACACAGAATATGATGTCCTGTTAAATAGTGAACCAATTTAACGGTGTGAATAGGTATATTTAGTTCCACTGCAACGAGCCACATGCAGCTTAAACATCATGAGATCAGTGTCAATAAAGTATACCACAATGTAATACTGATAGAGCCTACTGTGCTGTATAATGCTGTACAGTAAATACAGCTGACATTACAGTGAACTTTTGCAGTGATATTTCCAGTTTAAGCAGGTTTTGTGCTATTTTATTTTCCACAGAAACCAAAGCGACTATGAGTGGCATGTTTACCGACATCAGCTGAGAGATGTAGTTGAACGGAAGCTCACCTTGCAGGGCGACTGGGATCGCCTCCACCTGGATCTTTGTTGGACTCTTCCATCCCAGCTGATCACAAGCCTCGCAGAGGACCTCGGTGACACCCTGTCGGAACAGCATCACAATGTTGTTCTACTAAATTCACACAGTAAAACTTCTTTTAAACAGAGCTGACATACTTAAAACGACAGTATGTTTACATAAGATGCTAGCTTAAGTTAGCTAGCAGCGCCGTTGCTGCGTGCTAATGCTAACAAAACACTTTTTCTACTTCTCTCTCGGAGACAAACCCACCAGGTCCTTGAAGGTCTTCACCGTCTCGTCGCTTTCACCGCCAACAATGTGACTGCTATCATCATCACTACTCGAAGCTTCGAGTGTTTCATCTGTGTTTGGCTTCACGGTCTCCTCGTCCGCCATGCTTTTCTCCCCAACGTGTAGCCAGCGCGGCACTGCGCAGATGCGGAAACGAGTATTAAACGGAGCCGCAATGGACACTGGGAATTGTAGTTCTTTAACGAAGTAGGCGTTTCTGCGTGGCTAACATGACATGCTCACAACCCAAACTGGTGCTTAACATTAACAGGTAATGTGTAAGTAGATTTGAGGAAGGACACAGTGGATACTGCTAAAGAGTTCATTTCTCTACAGTGTTTTCTTTAACATAATAAACTACATTTTTACTATAAACTGATGCAGAAAAAGCAGAACTTGGTCCATAAAAATTCATCAGCATGCATGAAATTAAGTGTTGGACAGATTTTCCTGCAGGTGGCACCCAGAACCCATGCTTAACGTTTTCCACCCCAATATTCAAAACAAATCTACACATTAGGATGTCATTTCCCAGACAGAAAAAAATTGATTATATTGTTAATGTAGATTATTACACATGACACTGAAACAGAAGGTACAAACCATTTTTGAAGTATTTATTTAGCTGCAGGTCAAACAGTTTCAGACACGGATTTTGTCAGTAGCTGACAAACCTTCTACAACTTTGCTTGGATGTATAAGAGATCACCAATAAAATAAACAACAAATCAATCATACAAAATAGTTTCTGATGGTCAAATGACAAATAGTCGGCTAGAAGAGAAACTGAAGGGTAAAAAAAAAAAAAAACACAATATACTAGATGACCAGAAGCACTTCTGTGCAGAGCATAGTGTTCTTTTAACGAGTTAACAGGTTGCCTCAAGAAATAACAACTAACCTAAATGCTTCAGTTGTACATATATAATCAAATTCACATTCTCTTTGATGTCACAAACAGTAGTCCAGATGAAATGTAGATGAGCCTGCTCAGACCAGTGCTGAAGGATCTGCCTTTTGTCGACTTGCTAAAAAGAAACGGATCTAGCTGAATGCTTTGAAGACAGCGAGCTCTATAACTCTGCACAGAAAACACATAAAAACGACACTCCTGGTGTTCAGAGCGCTCCACCAAACAGTTCTGTCGGTACCCTCCAGGGTCTCAGAGGAGTCCCTCCATTTCCCTCATAAAGGCTTCGTAAACCTGGTCTTTAGTCTTCATGTTGGGCTGAGACACAGCACCCATCTGGGCCGGGTTGCCCAAGCCCATCGGGGCTGCTGTTGCCTGCTGTTTCTGCCACTGGCCTCCTCCCATGCCGTCATCTCCCCTCCGTCCTCCAGCACCTCCCACTGCTTTCTCCATGGGTCCAGGTGCTGCCCCTGGCATTGCGCTGCTCTTGTCCCTTCGCACCCTCAGTGCTGTGGGCACAAAGCGGGTGACCTCCGCCTTTGGGTTGATAATTTGAGGTTTGGCAGAGATGGTGGCCCCGCCGGAGCCAGCACCTGCCGCCAGGCCGCCTCCAGCAGCAGCAACAGAGGTGATGTTGGCGCGTTTTTCGATGGTGGCTGCGTGGTGGTGGCCGGGGGGGTTGCTGCCAGGATTGGCGCCCGAAGAGGCAGCAGCTGTCCCAGGGGGAGGGGGCATCTGCATGACACCTGGTCGCATGGGCATGGCTGGGGGTGGCATGTTGTTCTGTGGACCGTCCTGGCTGGGCCCTGAGCCTTTTTGCCGCTGGACAATGTTGGGAGGAGCACTGAGTACATTGGAGTTGAGAGGTGGAGGGAAGAGAGAGAGAGGCGGGGCAAGAGGCCGTGGGGGGCCTCCTGCTCTGGGGGGAGGAGGTGGGATACCTGCAAGAAGTCACAAGAAAAATGTGAAATGTAGCCAACATTCATCCTCACCATCCCACAGCAGCATGCTTACGTATATCTGTATATGTATGACTTCTATTTTTACTGTCTTAGTTTGATTTAAGGTGCAGTTGAGCAGTAAAGACATTTAAAATAAACATTCATTTTCCAGGAATGTTGTTTGAAAGAAAAAAAAATTCCCAGCACATGTCCATGTGTCCACCATAACATGCACAGTGAATTACTGTATATACACACACAGCTGACCTTGGAATAGACAGGAACACACATGCAACACACAGATGCCTACCTGGTGGTGCTGGGGGTGGTAATCTTGGAGGTGGTCCACGTGGTGGTGGGCCTGGTGGAAGGCCAGGTGGGGGGCCCGGTGGAGGACCGGGTGGTCGACCAGGTGGAGGACCAGGAGGTAGGAGACGTGGCATCGGACCCCTCATTCCTCCAGGCATACCGGGAGGCCTCAAGAATGGAGGCGCGCCTACAGATTATGGAACATATCATGTTAATGATGCATAGCTTGCATATTTACATGAGTACAACCAGCTCGTCCTTTCAAACTTTTTGGACTTTTCCTTTTCCTTCACTGTGTAAAAATGCTGCTTTTCTTTGCTTGTCTGCAGACGTACAGATCCCAAAGTCCACGCCAGAGAGAGTTATTCTCTTCCACAGAAAATAGAGTTTCTCATCTGCCCAAAATGTCTTGTAGTCCATGCTTTTGTCCATTATTTATCACCATGTGACACATCTGCATAAGTTTGACCCTTAAACAAAGGGTAAGAAGCTGCCTCACAGTCCACCATCGTTTCATCGCTAGAGCCCCCTTCTGCTCGTACTACTTAAAGTACCAGACTCATGGTACATAACCAGTGATGCCTCTCATTTATCGAGCCAGAAGGCCGAGCGTCACATCCGAGGCGACTTGTACAAGTTCTGAACAACGATGGAGACGTTAACACTGCTGGTCTCTGAGTATACATGTCCGTACCAGATGACATCTCTGGACCACCGCGATAAGAAAAATAACATGTGGAGGAACATTTCCTTTGCCGTGGGTCTACCAGGGAAGCTGCAGCCAGCTGAGTCTGCCAGTTGATTGGTACTTGCAATTATTTCTTTGTATATGTCACATCACAGCAGCCAAAGCATCTAAGCTTAAAAACAAAACGTTGTGTGCCTGAAGTGCTCTCAAGTGCTGCCAGCTGGGTAATTTCAAAAGAGCGCCTGCCGATTTTAGCTGCCAAAAAACCACTTTGGTGGACACACAATGGTAAATAAACAGGAGTAAAAGGTATTGTTGCAGACAGAGGGCGAGAAGAGGTGCGGCAGCAATTTACTGTACGAGAGAAATAACGTGGTTTTGAACATTAAAGCAAGTAAACATATTTTAGTAGACCTCCAAAATAAAATATATAAAAAACGTTAAAAGTGTAAAACTGTAATCAGGCGATTATTTGAGTATCTAGTTTAGAGTTAAAACATAATATTTCAGCTGATAAAGGTTGCAACGCACCTGGTGGGGGGCCAGGAGGCGGGCCAGAAGGTGGACCAGGAGGCCTCATCGGAGGAGCTGGGGGTGGACCCAGCGGTGGAGGTCCAGCCATCGGTGGACCTTGCATGTGTGGAGGACCTGGTTGTCCGACGGCCCCAGCAGGAGGAGGAAGACGCTGATTGGGCATAATGTGGGAGTGGTTGTCCCCCGGCGGTCCCCTGTCCTCGATGTCAGAGCTGTCTGACTCATCTGTGTACTCTTCCTCCACTTCTTCTTCTTCCTCCTCTTCAGGCACCGACTGACCTGAATGAAAATAATAAAAACAATAACGTTACACACAATCATCATGAATAGAAGAGAAAATACGGTGCAGCTGTTCTGCCGTGACACCAGTACGGTACAATACCTGCCATCCTCAACATCATGGCCTGCAGGGGGGTGATGGCCTTGGTCTTCTTCACCAACCTCTTCTTCTTTCTCTTTCCTTCACGAGGTGCATCTGAAGGCATATCTGCAAACCGTACACTGCGACCTAAAGTAGAAAGATGGTAAGAAATTGTAGTTGAGACTGATAACAAGAAATTTAATTTTGCTGCATTACGTCTAAATGCACAAAAGCTGAAGCCACATAACTAAAAACAGAAGCCGACAGCACTAAAAATTACGTGAATCTCGAGTTGAGAAGCTAAAATACGCTAAAGCATTCGTGAAACACTCACCAGCATGTCTTTCATTTCTGTCTCTTTCCTCCTCTCTTTCTCTGTCATCGTCCTGCCTGTCCACTCGCATCCTCTGCTCGTCTCCTCCCTCATCTCTGTCTTCTTCGCTGTCCTCCTCAGAGTCGCTGTCGTCGTCGTCCACGTCATCCCGATCTCTGTCGCTCTCGCTGCCGCTCTCCCGATCCCTTCCCAGATCCATTGCGGAGTCCTTTTCTAAACCAGGAATTGAGGGCTCTGTTTAAGGAAATAAAAAAACAAGACAAAGAGCAACAGTCAGAAAAAATTGAAAATGCAGAAGACGAGGGCTAATTTCTAAACTATCAAAAGAATATTAGCATTCAGAAATGTAGTCGTTGACGGCACAGCACCTGTGTCTGTGCCATAAGCTCTTCGAGAAGGGATTCCATACAGCGCCAGGACTTGTGGAGGCGGAGGCCCGGGTGGTGGTCCAGGGGGCTTCTTCCCTGGAGGTAGGCGTGGGACACCTGGGACTGTTGCCAACACCGGTCCCGAGGATGACGACAGAGGTCCTTTACTAAGGGTAGCATAAAAAGTACCTCAGCGGCACAGGAACACTCTAGAGCATCATGTACAAAGTTCACCTGCAGAAATATGTAAATGTAAATACTCGTAGGTTGACGCCTACCCAAAAGAGCTTTTCTTTAGAATGGAGGGTGGTTGAGCCCCTGGTAACGGGATGTCCTGGATGTGAATGTTGGATGGGGCATGAGGCATATCTGGTAAAGGGATGCTGTCAACCTCCACCGACTCTGCGTTCTGAAAAGAGACACATCACACTGAAGCGTAAACAGAGAGACACCACAGACACTAAATAGTGTAACAGTGCTGAAGCTCAACATGCTGAACGGACTTCAAACATTTTGGTGCTTCCCAATAACTCTTGTCGTGAATTTATAATAATGTTTCAGCCTTTGTATTAAAAACAAATCCACCACTCCAAAAGGTGCATACATGCAATCAAATTCACTTTCATGTGACTGCATCTCAGAGCAAAACGAGGCAAACAAGTTTTAAGGAAATAAAAATCAAGGAAACGGATCGAAACACAAACGCACCTTGACTGAATCAAAATAAAGAGCAAGCTGCCCTCGTTTGGTCTCATAGTCCAACTCAAGTTTGCGCAGCTCCTTGTAGGTGTCGGGGTTCTCTCTCTCGTACAGACGGACGATGCGTTCAAACGTCTCGCGCAACTTCTTCCTCTTGTCCCTCAACACCTTCTCGTTCAGCAAGGGCTGCTGCACGGGGTTGAACTCTGTTTGAAAAGTTGTTTAAATAAAACTTTAGAACATGCAGGAAATGATCAGAAAGTTATAAACATTATGGACTTTTATTATAAATTAATTACTAGTTAAAAAACTCCTGAAAATAGGGATGCAGCTTTAAGTATGACTATCTTCAGCACAACACAAACTCAGCCCTCTCACCCATCTCATCCAGCTTCTCCATGTCTCTGATGATCTGTCTGGGGTCCTTCATCTTCAGCACCGCTGCTCTCACCATCATCCTCTGCTTCTTGTTCTAGAGGTGGGACGCACAAACGGAGACCGATGTCAGAAACATAAAAGAACGACTGCTGCATTTACAATGAAAGAGTACATTTAGTCTCATGTTTGAAGACCCTTCTTACCTTTTTCAACTCCCTTTTCCTGGCCTCCTTTCCTGTGAAGTGGGAGAAGAATACACTTGTTATGGACCTTAAATCTGATCAGCAATCGATTGATAAATCCTCTACAGCCTCAGGGCTACAGAAACCAACTCCAGGTTGTGGTCGGTACTTACTGGCCTGGTCGGTAGGGTTCATGAACTTCCCACTCTTGGTGGAAGAGGTTGAACGTCGCCCCATGGTTGCGGTGCGTCTCCTTCACCCTGACAAAGTATTAAAATCCGAGCAATGACACAGGTGGAATTAAATCAAATTAGTCATCTATGTAATTCTGAGCACGTTGGAGGATAACAGGCTCCATTTTGAGATAACAATCATAGCTAATTAAATCATTAGTACATCTAATTAACATGTTGGCTGCTTAATTGGTCAAACTGTAATAGAAAACCATAGCAACGCTGAGTGCAACAAGAGAGTAACAGTTAGCACTGCTAGCTAACAGGTTAACAAAGTTGACAGGCAACGCGTGATTTTAGAACAACTTAAGTCAAGCTAATCTGTTAGATGTAGCGCAATCAAACTCTGCTGATGCTTTCTGCAGCTGGCTGACACCGTAAAGCCGGCAAAGCCCACAGTCTCTGTAACACCATGCAGGTCGTGCAGCATTTCTTTGGCATCTTAGCTAGTAGCGTTAGCCCGCACTTGTAGCTAGGCCCGCGTTAGCACCGACAGCAGCTCGGAAAGGCAAAACTCACTTTACCTCTTATTCAAGAAAAACTCGCAGAGCACAGCGGCCTGTAGACGCACCACTGGGTGCTAAAGGCAAAATAAAGCGTATCGTTTAAGTCCTGTAAAAGAGAAATCCAAAGCCTTCAGGACTGAATGCACACCGACTCCGCTAGCCGTCCGCCATGTTTACTGCCGCGAGCAGGAGCGGAAAGGCGCATTTGACGTCATCAAAACAAGTCACTAGTGAGCCGCCTGAAAACAATTTAGAAAAAATACATATTATTGGTATTTTACATATTAGTCTGTTGTATGTATGTATTGATATTTTAACTTTATTCTATACACGCATCAGGGTTGTTGCTTGTATGTCGGCATTAGCTCCATAGAATGTATAAGAGCTCCCTCAAACAACCAGCAGGTGGCAGCACTTAAGCTTAAAACAGAGAAAGAAGGCAACGAAAAAATGCAGAAAAAATAGTGGAGCAAAAAAATAAAACACAACTAAATTCACCCAGAACGTTATAAAATAAATAAATAAAATAAAACAAGAAGATGAAACAGAGAGAAGAAAAACTGGAAATTTGGGCAAAATAAAACAAAATCCTAAATGGTCTGCACTGATATAGCGCTTTTGTCCAAAGCACTTTACAATGTATTTCTCATACATCTATTCACACATTCACATACCAGTGGTGACAGAGCTGCCATGTAAGGTGCTGCCTGCCATCGGGAGCAATGTCGGGTTCAGTTTCTTGCCCAAGGACACACACATCCATCATCTCGTGCAATATTTCTTAAATCTTTTATTTCTTTTGATATATTTATCCTTTTTTTAATCTCTATATTTAACTGAGCCATTTTGCACTATATTTTGTTTTTTTGTTTTGTTTTTTACTTGCACTGAAAATAGGAGAAGCTCTCCAATCTCGTTGTACGCTGTATAATGACAATAAAGGCCATTCATTCATTCATTCATTCATTCATTCATTCATTCATTCATTCATTCATTCGACTGTGGAAGGGGCGGTGGATCAAACTGCCAACCTTGTGATTGAAGGATAACCAGCTCTACCGCCTGAACCACAGCCGCCCAAATCCTGAATAATTAATCATTGTGGCTCAATAATCATACATCAAAAGAAACCAGAAAGAAACATGGAAATAAAAAAAAGAGAACGAAGAACAGCTAAAAACCAAGACAGAAAGTTGCAAAATTAAAAACGATATAAAATATTAAATAACAAATTAAACAAAGAAAACAAATGAAAAAGGAAGTAAGGGGTCATTCCACCTCAGTTCACCAGATTATAAAAGATCTTCCCGCATGACCATCTCGGATTGGGTTGAAAAAATTTGAGAAAGGAAGATTATCATCAAGATGGCACAATCCCAGGTTTATGTTCATAACTGTAATGGTTTTTGCAACAAAAAATAATGAAAAACAATCCTTCTTTTCTAGTTTTTGCTAAATTTGTTACTCAACATTGGGTGACAATATCTCAAGAAGTATTTAAGGTACAGACTTCAAATGTGAGAACACATTTCTCCTCTACTGGAGGGGTTTAATGGGTCCCTCAGTGCATATGCTGAGAGTCTATGGCCTGTTCAATGTAAGGAAATATTAACTCCTGGGACCATTTTGTCCACCCATAGAACATACAGGAGTTAAAATAGAAATCTGAAGCTTTTGTTTTGCATAGTCCATATATGAGATGTATGTAAAGTACACATATGTAGAATGAGATGTTTCAAATAGACCTGATTTCATGAAGATGAAACACATGGCCTCTGAGATACTGATCTTAAAAATGTTAAGTATCACAAGTTTACTCAATTCACCAATTGCCAATGAAAGATAGGTCATCCCAACACATAATTGAAGTCGTATGAAAGAGAAATGTTCCTAACTTGTAGTAGTAAAAAAAATAAATAAATCAAATTGGGATCTTTTTTCAGTTTTGCTGGACACATTTGTGAAATCTTGATTCTAAGCATTTTAATTTAATTGTTTTTTTGCAAGAAAAATATTCACTTATGCACTTTATTTGGCATCTGAGATAGAGATATTAATTACAAATATCCATGTAAATGAACAACAAAACAAATCTCTCTCTCTATATATGTATATTTAGTGTCTAGACAGCTCCGTACCACAAATGACCTTGTTCACTAAAAGCTTTTGTCAGATTCCAGCATGATGACATGTTCTGTGAACTGACAGAACAAAAACCCTTCTCGATCTACATAATAGAAAAGGGAAGGTGTGATAAAAAAACAGGTTTTACTGTCTGTGTAATTAACATTTAAGGATGATTCCACTGCTGACAGATGTACTGAAGCCTCCTGTGAGCACAACAGTGCTTCATACAGCAGGACAATGATGAGGACACATTAACACAAAGCCAAAGAGCCTCCCTGCCAAAGCCTGAGCAAGGAATTTCAGCAACATCTCCATACCGTGTCTATCCTACACTATGATAGTATTACAGTATAATAATCCTGAATATTAGACTGTTTTATTAGTAAAGTTTAAGGTCCACATGCAGCAGTCGACGTCATTAAAACTACACAAGTCCTGATAACTCATGTAACCAGAGGGCCCTTAGTGGAGGGGTATACAGTCGCCCCTGTCGGCCATGATTTCACTGAGCCCCAGTAAACCATCATTCCATCCAGCTTACCACAAAACAGGTGTTTTCTCCTTGAACTATCACCCAAGGTCAAATGTCACATCCCCAGTGGGAAGCCTACACAGTTTCCAATACAAACACTGTGTCTGTCTCACACTGTTTTCAAGCTGCAGTTCAGTCAAAAATGATGACCGTGACCTTGAATTATCATTACAGGTCAAATGTAACGTCACCAACGGAAAGCCCCAACATGGTTGTTTATCTGCACCCAATACCATAAATCTACCGTCCACCATTTTGAAGGTATACAGCACTTATTTAAAAAAATGACCTTTAACCTCTAGCAGAGCTATTTTTCCACCGATTGACCCCAAAATCAAATTATTTCGAGGAGAGGCCATTCCGAGCTCACCTGTAGAATATCAACTTGTTAGACCTTCGCACTGGAGCTGGAGACTGTTCACAGACACACACACACACACTAAGTAATGGGACTGATTACTCTGTAGTTACCCCTCCTCAGGGGCAACTACAAAGACTAGAGGTAAAAGCATGACTGAGCAGGTCCAAGACAGTAGAGAATCATGAGGCCCCTCTTCCAGAACCTCTGTTTGAAGAGATGGTTGTATATCTGGTTGGCAAATCATTCAGCC